TAAGAGAAATTAACACAATGCAAATTCTTTTGTAATAACAACTGGAAATCTATAACAGTCATTAATCTGATTTAAAGCTGAAATTGTAGGTGGCTATTTCAGACTGATATTTATTATTTATTGGGTCACTTAAAAAACAAAATAACTCAAAATATGAATACTTATTATTATAATAACAAGAAATTACATGAAAAAGAATGAAGGAAAACATCTATTCTATATCATGATTTTATTAAGAATCTGGCAACATCAGGTCTTACTTCTGATGCTTCATCCAAGCAACTGACCTGCGATTTTAATATTCATAATTTACATTTGTTTTCATTCCTGCATATTCTACTTCACCTTTTCCTATAAGAGGCATAACCAAGGTATAGCCAAACCACCTCCCTCATTTACACCGACTTGTCTCTCATTCTACTCTCACACACAAACTCTCTGCTTCCAAGTTGTCATTCCTATAGGTTGAAACTCGCTTGCTCCCTGCCATTCAAGTTGCTCAACGTCCAGCAACTCTTCTTCCTCTGTTTATATTTGTACCATTCCCCCTTAAACCTTCCTTTGCCATCCCTCCCTCCTTTGTTCTTTCTACTCCCATTTCTTTTCTCCTCCTCCTCTCGGTAAACCCTTTCCTTATCATTACCATCTCATGCCCATCTTCCTCATATAACAGAATCAGCTCCAACATTCTGAACAGAGCTTCCCCAGGCATCCAAGCGTCTGTCATTCCATTTTCACCGACATATTTTCTTAAATACAGATCATTCTACTACATCTGCTGCAGTTTCCCAAAGGTGATCAATATCTTAATGAAGAGAGGTGCTTTAAATGCAATAATTTAACACTTCTGAAGCAAACTAGCATATTCCTGCATCCCAATACATGAAGTCACCTACAAAGGCCAAGCATCTGTCAAAAAGCACACAGCCCTGGCACCAACTCCCTTAACAGACCCATCCTCACACACACACAAGGGCAAATTCGCCCCCCCCTGCCATGAGCAAGTATACCCAGCCAGAGCAGCTTACTCAGCAATCACAGCCAAGGCCCAAGGCACAGGCACAGACACGCAAGACTCCAGCCAATCACACCTTTGCAGGTAAAAGCACAAAATTGCTTCCTTGCAACGCTTTGCACACATTCAAATTCTTGCCTCCCCCATACAGACAACTCCTTTGCCGTACACACACACACAAACATACATACACAGACGTACACACACACACGTACATGCTGACAGCTTCCCCTCCACACCCACCATCTCGCTCCCCCCCAAAAATCATTCCTCGCTTTCCAGGGCATCTGCAATCCCGATCTTTATTGGTCATTGCGCCGAGGGCGGGCGTGTGTGGAGGAGTGGAGCGGCGGTGGAGCGGGTGGAGCGGCAGGAAGGCCTTCCACGGCAGCCCATTTTGTGCCATCTGCTCCCTGCGCCACCCGCGACCCAGCCACTTTTTTTCATCGAACACCCGTCAAAAAACTCGCGCAAAACCACCGCCATAGACTTTTCACAAGCTTCTGCAGACGTTTAGGATACTTTTGCAACGCTACTGGTTCACTTACCTTAACATTTAGGCAACTTTAGACTCAAAATAAACAAAAACTTCTACATTCTTCTCTCTGGTGGAGTGTCAACAAACAGCGCCGCCATCTTGCAAGCGAGCGGTGACGTCACTTCGCCCCGCCAAATTCAAAATTGGGACAACTTTCCTCTTCTTAATCATATTCAGCCACATTATGACGCGAGAGTTGCCTGATGTGCATGCCGAGCATCAACATGCGCACCAGAAGAATGCTTTTTTGCCATTGAGAGCAACAACAACCATTAAAATATTTACTAACAGGGATAGTATGACTGGGCAACAAGGACAAAACAACCACCTTCTCGAAATTAGTCTGATATTTTTTTTTATTTCGCATTGGCAGAATGACCATACAAATACCATTATTTCAAAAGGATTGCATAGTCCTCTATCCACTGTTGCAAACCAATTGCCCCAATCGATGCAAAAGGACTGCTCCAAACAAGCCATAATTGCTTGGCTGGCGACGTCTGGCACGTAGCGGCCAAGACGATCGATTCCTGCCTAGCGCGCTCAGGCAATCGATTCAGGTCAGCGATTTCTCGCTCGCCATCCTCGGCCTATGGCTGCTCGTCCAGGGATTAGCTGTTTTCCTGAGGCCTAGAGACTCTGGACGAGAGATTTCACGTCTTTAAACCGATATGGTGGCCGCTTGTCCGAGGCGGAGGCGATTCCCAAGGGGATTTTTCTTACAGAGTGGACGAGGTGTTTTGCTGGCTCATGGCACACATAGCAGAGTTACGTGAGCCACAGGCGTACGTCCTCATCAACCTGTAAATATAGGGGGACGTAAATGCTTATGTGTATATGCGTGTATATGCATACATACATACATATTTACTTTCTCTCTCTATATCACGCACACAAAACACACACACACACACACACACCACACACAACACAAACACACACACACACACACACACACACACACACACACACAACACACACAACACCACACCCACTCTCTCTCTTCTCTCTCTCTCTCTTCAATCTCGAATCTCTCTCTCTCTTCTACTTCTATTTCTCTCTCTACTCTCTCTCTCTCTCTACAACACCACACTCAACCCTTCATATCTATATATATTATACTATCATATATATCCCACCCTCTCAACTCATTATATATATACGCCATCACTCACATCAATCTCTGGGTGGCTAGACGCGCCGTGGGGCGCTAGCCGCATCCACCGTTTGCTTACCACTTTTGAAGATCCCTGCAAGCCGCCAGGCAAGGGACTCGGCCCTATTCTCGAGTCCTCTCGACCACGGTTTAATGCGATTGCCAAGCCACGACTCTAGGTCGTCCCCAGGCCTCCTCCAGCCGGGCTGTCCCGTACAAGATGACATCGGTGGGGCAGGAGCATCCTGGGAGGACAACGAGTCGCGTGGCGAATAGCTCTGAGTTGGCGCACTACAGCTCCCACTCAACACACACGACTACACGCTACCGCATCACGTAAACAGCACAACGACTCATCACTGACTAAAATCATCACGGTGCAACCGTTGGTTTGGATACGATGGCCACACAACATCAGTCGCACCACTGTACCGCCATGATCGGGCAAGGCCTATTACAGATAGGCCTATAAGACGGGAATCGAACACACAAGCGCAACAAGCACAGAACATAAAACTTCTTCCTCTCATCTCATCTCATGATCGTTTCTCCTCATTCTCCCTTCATTCTCTCCTCTTCTCTCTCTCTCTCCTTCTCTAGGTTCACTGGCACTTCATCAGGTTGTCCTCTTTCTGCAATCGACCATGATAGACACACTCACATCACGAGTCCTTCTGCACAGCTACACCCCTCACCCCACCCAGACTCACACTCACAACACACACGCACACATCTCAATTCACTACTTTGTCGAGAGATTTCATGAAACCCCGCGTGCTACAACACACACACACTCACACTTCACAGAGCACGAGGGCACAACCACACCGCATCCCCATCGCGCACCGCACAATCATCATCTGGTCTGACGCCCAGAAGTTACAATCACAGCAACATCACACACACACATCACAAAGGCTTCTCTTGTCTCATCATCTCTCTCTCTCCTCACTCTCACTCTCACGCTCTTGGGCTCGTGTGACTCAATGATTCTCGGTTTCTCCCTCTCTGGTCGTCCTCTCTCTTCCTCTCCTCTCCTCTCTCCTTCTCTCTCTCTCGTCTCTCTTCTCTCCTCTCTCTCCTTCTCCTCTCCTCTCTCTCGGCTTTCTCTCCCCGCCGTGCAGGCGCCGTACCCGACGAACAGGTTCGCCGTCCCCTAAAAGCAAGGTCCCCCAAAGTCCGGATCTGGTGTTTGGTCCAAGGAGACCTCGAGACCCCAAGGGTTCGCTTTTATTAGCTAAAATGCATCGGAGAACACATGCACTAAGTGATTCCAAAGACTCAGGATAGAATAGCACAGTCATCAGCAAAGCAGGGTCGGTAAATACACGACAACTTGATATTGTCCAGAGTTGCTTCACAACACATGACTTTGAACAGTAGCCTACTAGTATCGCAGTCCATGGCGATGTGAAGAAGCGGTTGGTGCAAGAACAAGCTCTTTGCCTCACTCCTGAACGTAATAGGAAAGAAGCTCGACAGTGTGCTCTCCTTATTCTACACCATCCTTAGTACGCCACTTGTTCAGTACTTCGTATATAGACTTGCTTATCTACTTCTCAATATATTTCTCTCTCTGTTTCGGATCTCATATCTCTCTCCTCCCCATGCTCCTTCGCTCTCGGGGAATCATCACACATCACACTCAAAAAGGACACACAACACAACGACACAGCACAGGATAGCAAATCACACAACAGGTTTTGGATGATTATTGCACTTTATACAATATATAAATAAATACTATAATATAGGTAATCGAACGCTTCATTAGTAAGTGGTATTTATTCTGTAATGTAGATAAATACGACCTGAAACGAGACAAGGAGAGGATATACAGTACACTAAAAGTGGCATACACACAAACATACCGCCACACAAACGGCGAACACACATTACATACATACCTGACAACTCAAATGTATACATATAGTGCATATATACAAGGCGCTCTTAACAAAACACCGCTAACAAGCGCAAGGATCCGGTCATTGTTGATACCAGGAGTTTTAATCCAGATTGCTCCAGTTACTGGGGGATGCACGCACACGCAATACGAGACACTGCACACATCTTGACACTAACAATCATCAAGAGATGAGGGACCACACACTTCACACCCTCGCTATACACCCACACACACAGAGGTGTGATGCCTCTTGTGGTTCTCACACGCGTCCATCGGCCCCTATCCTTTCACTCAGAGTAGGGATGACCACCCTTCTACAACATGAGTATTACAGGGATGGTATAACTATAGGAAACGATCCAGTTAAGTTGGGTTCTAGTAGTAATGAGATATCATAAATGACATACACTAACGCGAATACATAATATAGGTAGTTCATAACATATATTAAATTAAGGAATAATAACGGAACATACTCGAATAACTAAATGCATAGCTATAAAAGCCAAATGTAACATGTTGATGATCAAATACCTTGGTACGCTGTGCATAAATACGTTCACGCGCAATCGTAATGATACAGGATCTGAGAACTAGATACGTGTGCAAATGCAATATTTAAGACCAGAATCTGCTCGATATAACGCTGTGGAGAGGAGTTAGGAGTTTATCAGCTATTATTTCATCAGGGCTTGGTATGTATGCAGGACTACAGGTATCATTTACTAAGACTAATATTAGGTGTTATTCACTGCTCGCTCTGCAGACTCATAATTAGGTTATATTGCTCACTTTGTCTGATTACTTTATACAGTGGTAATACGATATTTATGCGCACATATTATATATATATGGTTATGTATTAGTATTAGATAAATGATATGTCAATATTAGTTGCTTGTATAAATGTAAGTATGGTATCTAATGACGACATTATAACACACAATACCTCACACAACACGTATTATTACACAATTATATATATAAATTATAATACTATATAATATTAATATATGCATATAGCATATAACATCTAGCATATAACTTATATTACACTATCTATATCTATTATTATTTAGTATATATATTATATATAATCTTATCTTATCTAAATATATATATATATTATATATTTTATAATAAATATGATTGAGTATGGTGTTATGTATGTTGGTTGTGGTGTGTGTGTGTGTGTGTTTGTGTGTGTAGTATGTCTGTATTGTTTTACTGATGTGTAATACAAATACATATAGAATAATATAATATATTAATATATATAGTAATATTGATAGTATAATGTATATTAGTATATCAGACTAACACATACACGACAGAGAACAACGCCTAGAATACATAGCCACACAACAAACGCACATCATACATCACACATACACACACCTACACATAACACACACACATATAATAAATTACTATAATATATATTATTAAGTTATTAGAGTTATATTATCTTATTATATAGATATATATATATTGGCCATATTATATATATATTATTAATATATATATGAGATTATAAAGATATATATACATATCATACATATTAGTATATTATATTATATTATATCTGATCGATTAATTAGATAAGATAGATAGAAAATTATCTATCTTTACATAATTATCATATATACCCTAAAATATTATATTATATATATATATATATATAAATAAATATAAAAGAATATATATATTATAGTGTACAAAATATTATATAATATATATACTATATATATGCATAATAATATATTATATAAAAATAAACAATTCATAGACGTGTACTCCACATCAGAATATGCCAACTGCACATAATTAATAGAAAAAAGATATAGTATCTAACGAGTGTACTATTCAGATGTTATTAGTTATACGTACAAACATTTGAATATTTACGCAATTATTTGGACGTAATATTGTATTTAGAAAAACTTTTATGGACACGCTAATGGTAAACTATATGTCATTTTATGATTATACTGATCTAAGCTGTAATTAGTGGTCAATTAGTGTGGGTTTGTCTTATTATTGTGTGTTGTTGATTTTTGTGTA